ACTGGAGAGCCTCCAACACCCCGGAGTCTTTCTTCCTCGCGTTAATTCCCCTGCAACGGACCCAAACCTCTCCCACTCTTTTTTTTAATTCATATTGTGGCCGTTTAGAAACCATCACCCACAGCTGACTGTTAATTGACCCGCTGACACCCAGGCGCGCACGGACATCCAGCGATACTCGGGGCTAAATTTGTTGTTGTTGTGGGTTTGAATAAAATGTTTTTGTTTTTTAAACGAGGTTTATTACTTCGTTACCCCGATAAGCCTTTTCAGTTTAGCGCACCGTTACACTCTTTTGGTCGCGATCCCCCCCATTCCCCTTGAGCGGCTGGAGCTCGCGTTGCATGCCGGTACCTGCAGTCCTCACCGCTCCCTGCCTCTCCAGCGTTTAATCCTGGGCGTGGATAGCCGAGCACTACATCTCCCATGCTGTCACCGTGCACCCTTCTGCTCCCCCCCACCCCCTCTCTCGCTCTCTCTCACACCAGACTGGAGACTGGAGATACGGAACGGACCGTCTTGGCGACCCCCCTCTCCTACCCTCCCCTCCTCCCTCCCCCAGCCCCTCGGACTTTTAGGACCGAAAACCGTCGAGATCAGTGAGCAGCCGCGGACTGTAGAGGCGAAAGGCTGGACACGGCCGTATCACAGTCGTGCCTGCACGGTGGTTCACATGCCATCTGGACGAGCAGGTTCGTAACTGTTTGTGTCATTAGAAATCTTTTTATCCCTACAGCTGATTGTCTTGGGGACTATTCAGTATTTTGCGTAGAAAGAGAAAGCCCGAAAGGGGCCGGAGAGGAGAGCAGAGGACAGGCTCGGTGGGTCGGGGGCTCTGATGAATGCCTTTCCACGCCGAAGTGGCTCAGTCGGTCCGCTAAAGGGCCGATAAGAGGGACGGGAGCACTTCGCATTAGGTCGGGGATAAATAACAGTAGCTTGCCTCAACATGCAAACCGCCGGGAGAGCTGCGAGGGCTTCGCGGAGAATCCGCTGCGCAGGGAAGCTGGAAACCTAACGTTGCTGGAGGTGGTGGTGGTAGTGGTGGTCAGCGGAGTTAACTATATTGTTTGCCCCCTTTTCATGGCCACTCCAGCCGCACAATAAGTTGTGCCACCCACCCCTATGGTCGTTCTCCTGCTGGTTACTTTTCTTCCCCCCCACACACACTTATCTGCCAGTAAGTCTGCGCCTCCAGTTTTCTGTGCTATCAGCGGCAGAAACGGATTATTTGTTTGTAAAAACGTCTACCGGCAGGGTTACTTTGTAGGCTGATGAAACGGGCCAGGAGTTTAGTTTGTTTGGCTCTCCCGTTGTTCTCCCCGCGTCTTCGCATTGATGTTCACTTACCTTATCAGGGGGAGATGTGACACATTGTGTGCTCCTACGTCGTAGCCCAGGCAGCCACTAGACAGGAGCGGAATCTCTCGTGTCACTTTGCTATATTTTCCTCAAACATCTGTCTTTCATCTCTGGACCTTTCCATCCCATCCTCTCCGGGTTATTTAGACGAGGTTCAGAGACGCAGACAGCCTGTCTGCTCAGTTTGCGCCCGTGTTTTTGTGCGGATGGACCGATCACCTGAGAGCCAGTTGCCATTCTCTCATTATGGTGACTGCTCGCCATCTCCAGCGAGAGAGAGAGGAGGGAACGACCCGGAGCTCTCCAGAGTTTTTTCTTGCTGATAATTATAGCAGAGGTAAACGTGTTGTTTTCTGGGTTCCCTAACGCTTCAGTGGGCATGTGTTGTTATTGTGCACTTTTCAGATGTGACATTGGGAACGTGTGTCTTTTGTGCCGTGTACGTGGGCTGGGCAGCGAGCTGACCGGGTGGAAGTAGGCTACATCGGAACAATTTGGCTTCTTCGCGGCTGTTTTTCCTCAAAGGCTTTTTCTTTCTTTCTCTCTTTTCTCCCAGGCTCGACTTTGTGTTGTCCACGGTGTGTGTGTGAGGCTGTCTGTGTGCGTATGCGCGGACTGCTGCATATATTTACTGGCCTACATCAGAGCGGATGAATTCAAATGTTTAGTGGCGGAGTCGACCGCGATCGCAGCACAAAGACAAAGTAGCTGTAAGCAACTGTTGTACGGTAATGTATGCAGACCGTCGCTGCACACAGCGGCATCTGCATCGCTGGATTTCCCTTTTTTCAGTCGTGCTCGCAGATTCCAGCAGAGATTGGCTTGTCAGTCATTATGTGCATCATCTTCGTTATGTTTCACTGATTCAAGGGTGAAGCATTTCCATTTCCCCCCAAAGCTTTGGCACAGATTTTCTTGTTGCACAGTCCCTTTTGTAGTCGTCTCATTTGCTTGCAGATGCGCTCGTCTGCGCTCACCTCTATCTACAGTAAATACTAGGGTCAGTTCCAGCGTGTGTCCCCAGTGTAAGCTGTGTACTTATATGATATGAAGTTGATTCACGCTTTAATTATAATTCCTAATCGTGTGTATGGCCATCAGTGCTTTTTAACTTGTCTTGTGCGAGTTTTCAATAGAAAAGCAGTGAGTGGGATTGTCTGGTCATTAAATCTGGCTGTTGAGCATTTAAGGCTGCATGCCAGTAACTGGTCCAGTTATGCATAATCATTAACTATATGCGCACATGCAAAAACCTTTGCTCGTTTCTTGTCACTCGCGGGTGTGCATGACTTAATCAACACAAAACACACACACTGATGTTGGCTCTAACAAAAGATCATTTGAGCAGTAACAGCTGATTGCCTCATGGATTACTGAATGAGCCTGCTAGGGACAGGCCCTGGGTCGCCTTAGGAAGAGCCTCTATTTGAAGTGACTGTTAAAAGCATTTCTCACTGGGCTCCTGCAGTAAAAACTAGGGGTATCCCATTCATGTTTTTTTTAATCCCAATCTTGTAATATTGAGATTTCGCTGATTTCAGGTCTAATCTAGCATTGATATTTATTTTTTGCACATTTTCCCCTAATGCGTGTGTATGCCCAGGCTGCATTAAAGTTAGCACATGTTATCCTACATAATTTTCGCTTTTTTTGCTAATTGTCCCTTGATGTTCTCAAGTGTAATAGATATTTTTGCTTATTAATGAAGCTTCTGGCACAGTTTTTGTGCTGATGTTAATGTCAAATAAGGAGGTTTTGAGCTCTGCAGTTACTGAGTGAGTAGAGTGTTGATGACATATTGCATAGTGTAGTTGTACATGGTGGCCGAGTTGCACTTTGCAATAATACCACTTACAGTTGACTGTGAATTGTCTAGGAGGGAAGAAATTTCACATTCGTTGCAGTGATGGCATCCTATTACAGTACCACTCTCAAATTAATTGAACTCTTTAGAACAACCTATTTTTTGACAAATGTTTGTAAAGGCAGTTTGCATGGCGAGGTGCTTGGTTTTGTGGCAATGAGACTGAAAACACCTGAGAGATGTGGCTCGGTATTATTGTTCCTATTGTGTACACCTGCTGAAGGGGAAACCTCCTCTGTGTTCAACCAGGACGATTTTGTAAAGTCACAAGCTTGAGCGAGAACCTCCAGTGAACATGTAGACGTAGAAATTGTTATGCCCATTTTTATTACTGAAGACAGTAATAATTATTTGAACACGATTCAACTTTTTGGCTCAAAAAAACTTTGATGGTTTCTCATAATTTTCTTTTTTGTATGATGTGATATTTTGTATGTTATGGACTCTGTGGCAGGGAGGTTGTCAGAAGGATTAAAACCATCTCCTTTAATTTCCAACATAAAAAGTTTCAGGAGTACATCATATTTAAGGTTAACTTGCAGAAATGAAATGGAACATGAAAGAGGTGATCATTTGTGGTACTCCTCCAAAAGTTGATTCTGTTCATCTGGACGTAGCGTTTTCAGTGGGAGAAACGTTTCGTCACTCATCCAAGTGACTTCTTCAGTCTCAGCTGACTGCAGGTTTCCCCAGCCTTATAAACAGTACATTTGCATAATGACTGAAACCAGCCCACTGAAGGAACAATGGGCTGAGAGGTCAGTTCCTTAATCATAATTATGCAAATTCTCATGACCATTGATCAACAACCACTGACCAAAACCCACTGATCAAAGACCACTGATCAATGGCCATGAGTACCATTCACCGAGAGTTGGGGAATGGCTGCAATCACAGCATTGTAAGATGGCGAAAGATGTACCCTCAGGCCCCCTCCTCGATTCAGAGATGGTCTTTCCCTTTTCACGTAAATGGCCTCCTTGATTCCGCACTCAAACCAGCGTTCCTCCCTGTCCAGGATGTGAACATCCTCATCATTGAAAGAGTGTCCACTGGCCTGTAGGTGTAAATAGACTGCAGAGTCCTGGCCCAGCCATTCCCCAACTCTCTGTGAATGGTACTTATGGTCTTTGATCAGTGGTCTTTGATCAGTGGGTTTTGGTCAGTGGTTGTTGATCAATGGTCGTGAGAATTTGATTTTGACGTCACTTGGATGAGTGACGAAACGTTTCTCCCACAAAACGCTACGTCCAGATGAACAGAATCAACTTTTGGAGATTTACTTTCCTGGATGATCGAGAATGCATCAAGACATCATTTGTGGTAGTTTCTTACGTGTCTCTGCCAAGGGTTCATTGGATCCTAATCCTTCTATGCTTCAATTAATGCATTAGATCTAATTTTACGCAGTGAATGTACAATGTTCTTTTAGTGAAGAGAGTTCACATTTCAAATGGATGAGCACTGGCAGCTTTCCACATCCCCTATGTGCAACAAAATAAAATCAAAGGGAATAACACAACGAATACGTGCCATCAGTTTACCACACTTCTCTCTGCTGCTCTAGATTGTCTCCTTGTTCTTAGGAAATTGTAACACAGCTGAACTCCAAGCATATCTTAAAGAAAGGAAGTTTTCAGTTGCACAAAGTTAGTTACTTATTTCTTCTTCTCGAAGGTTTAGTCGAACAGATATTTTCTGTAGCTGAAAGGAGAACGGTGCTAAAGTAATCACAGCAAGTGGTTTTATGTTTTTTCTCTTGTGTGTTTTGCAGCATATCACTGTATTTGAAGGAGAACTCTCACCTGACTGACGCAGATACCCCCTAAGGCATGTTGTGCTAAAGAAACACCTATGCAGGTAATTGGCTTTTTTTTTCTGCTGAAGTTGTATTGCTTGAATAGCGCATCCTGTCCTCTTATCTAATTAACACCAGCCTCATGAACTTTTCTTATTACTCAGGTGGATCCCACACTAATGAATGTAGGGGATGGAGGCACGGTGAGCAGAGAGATCAGTGCTCCAAATAAAGCGTCTGCTAGCATGGTGGGAAATCCCCCCCAGACGCTCCCCCCTGAGTTCAGAGGAGATGTTGCTCTCAGTCAGCAAAATAAGACAACTCCAACAAAAGACTGTAAGACTGTAAAAGCCTGCCCGGACAACTACAACCACAGCCCCGAACTTTCTCCACCGCAACTGCCCAACAATGCACCAATGTCCGGCTTGGTCCTCACCAGCTCAGAAAAGAGAACAGACAAAAGAGCAGAAACCTCTAAGCTCAAAGCTGATGGTTCTGGGGTCTTCCCCACTCCTCAGTGGTCGAGTGGTGTAAAAGTTAGCCAGGAGGATTCACTCAGCCCCTGTCACAGCAATGTGACATCCAATAAGAAATCCCATTCACAAACACAATCTGTGCAAAGTGTCCCACCTGGGTTTCAGTGCTCTGCCATGTTTAAACCAGCCCAGCCTGTTGCCTTCCTTCCCACAGCAAATTTTTCCTCTCCACTTTGTAAAATGAATCTTCCACCAGCATTAGGTCAGATTGCAGCATTGAGAGAAGCCCCAGCCACGCAGTTTCAGAAAGAAAGCCAGCCTCAAAGCTCAGGTGTTGCTGGGCCACCTCTCATGCGGACCTATCCCTACCCGTTGTCTGTGGCCCGGACTCCGGCTGCAGAGAAAAAGACGGGCACGTCGACCTCAAAACTCAGATCTAACCACGCATCAAGTAAGAATGCTAAATCTGTTGGAGAACATAAATCTTTAGCTTCTGTGGTAGCCTCACCAGCTATTGCCCTACCATTGCAACATCCATCATTAACTTCAGCTGCACCCACTCACTACACCTTGTCTCCGACTGCTGCCATTTGCTGTGGCTCTGCTCTGGCCAACATCGCCTCACAGAGCAGAATGCTGAACCATGTAGAGAAAAGCAACAGCATAGATAAGACAACCATGGGCTCTCTAAAAACCACACCTCCTGCAACAGACGACCACACAGTCTGCTCAGTTGAATCAAGAGATGTACCTCTTGATTTGTCCGCCAAATCAAAACGCCCTAAATGCTTAAATGACCCTCCTGTTACTATGATGGAATCCCACAATAATGAGTCAAATCAGAGAGAATTTCTGAATTCAAAGAAGACTCATTCTGCAAATTACGGCTCCGCTCTGCAATACCCCATCTTACCAAACACCCACCGAAATGGATCTCATCAAAAGCAATTAAATAGGTCTCAGAATCACCAGATCCCAGAGGTCAAACCAGCCTGGGGTAAGGGATCTTCACAAGATTCAATAAAAAACATCCCTGGTACATATGTGGGAGTTGCTAGTCCAATATTGGCTTCTACTCTAAGGGGCAAAGATGGAAAAGGGACGTTTGTGGATGAATTTCAGAGTTTTGCAAAGCAGGAGTTTATATCTATAATTGACCAGGGAGAACATCTGGCCACAGGAGGAAAGAAGCCATCCTGTCTGATGAAGGGTAACCAACACACTCACAGTGTCAAGCATGTTAAAAACACCAGCACAACCATAACTAAGAACTGTCCCTCAAAAGGAGCCCTAACCACTGCGTTGTTAAGCTCAACCAATGCTCAAATTCCTCAGAAATGTGGGCCTGGCAAAACAGCGGTACCATACTCTGCTCCCCTTGTCAGTCCAGCTTGGCAGCAGGCATCTCATCTCACATCATCACATCAAGCTTCTTCTAATCATCGAAAAATCACACAAGGATCTCCAAAGACTAAGGGCACCGCAGTTACAGACAGTTGTAAGTTTCCAAGTGCCCATCACAGCCCGTCCAAACCTGAGGATGATAAGTGGGAGAGAATGAAGTCTCCTCTGTCTAACCTTGCGTCCATTGTAAAGCAGCAAGCTCTTGATACAACAACACTGACGGATGAAGGTAATTCCCAAGCATCGCCTGTTGCATCACGAAAAGCTGATGGTCTGAATACACTCACGGGAAATCAAGACATACAATCTAAGCATACCTCTACTTTTGAATACCCACCATGCTGGTCTGTGGAAAAGTGGCCTAGTGCACCATCTCAAGGGGATTTCACTCAAGCTATGAAAAGACATGACAAGGCAAATGCCGCTGAGCTTTTGGAGAATAACACTGACATGCACACCAGTCAGGGAGAGCACATGGGACTTCAGGTGAAGCAAGGCTCCTCAAAGCCCGCAGGCCAGTCTCATCTCTACGGGAGCAGTGCATCAACAAATGGGAACAGGATGGAGAGTAAACTAGCCCAGGTGTTAGAGGGGGAGATATTGAGGAAAGAAAGTGGGCCGTCAGACAGTCCTCCTGGTGACAAATTGGAGGGCATGGCTGCATCTATTCTTACAGGCCAGTGTGCAGGGGGAGGCGACAAGTTTGAGAAGAAAACAAACGGAACCAAAGAGGAGTCGCCAACCAAAGCAAAAGCTGCTGCCGTCAAACAAAAGAAGAACAGTCCTAAGAAGCCAGCAAAAGAGAAATCTCCAACAGATGCATTACAGAAGGCTGCAAGAAGGAAAAAGCAAGAGACAGAAAATACTCCAACCAAAGTGTCCCCTAAAAAGAAGGTAAATTATTAATTCCTATTACTCTCATTATTTCTCTTTGGTTAAATTTGAAGAAATATTTAAGGTAGCAATCGTCTTTTAAGAGTTTAAAGAGCGAAAAGGCTATTCAGAGCTCCCTTTCATATTATTAAGTTATGACTGATGGTTTCACTTTCGAGGGCTTATTGTGAGTCTCTTGCATCCTCTCTGTCACCACGAGAGGCTCATGATCAATAACCTCCAATAGAGCGTGCTCACTCTGTCCCCTGTGTTTCCCCATTGTTTCTGCAGAAGAAACAATGTGCACCTGTGCTGGAGCAGAGTCTGTCAGCGGGAAAACCTTCCCCTCCAACTAAAGAGGCGATTCCAAGGGAAAAGATCAGTCCCAGCAAGGCCGAGCAGCAAACCTGCAACAAATCAGGTAGAGTCTTTGTTTCTTCCTTAATCCTATAGCTTTTACATTTTTTACAAAAATGTAAATTTAATGATACTTTTATTTAGTTAAAAAAAGTTTTGTTGTAGTATATGGTTTGATTACTCTGGGTTCAGTTTCAGTTTTAGAGCTAAGTAACCTGCAGTCAGTGTCTCAGTCTTACTCTCAGCATAGAGTCTGGTGTGAATGTAACAATCAGATGTGATTTAATCAGTTCCAGATAGCAGTCCTCAGACTTTGGAGACTTCAGCGTCTCTCATTAGTCCCGCCGTATCCACCAAGGAGGCCGAAGCCACAGAGTGCTCCTTCCCAAGACTGAGGCGAAGGCGGCGGCGAGTTGATGACGCTCGACTTGACCTCTGGGGCTTTGCGACGCCCTCCCCTCCACCCCCGCCAATGCCTCCTCCCCCAATATCCCCTTCGCCCTCTCTGACTCTGCCCCAACCTGTTCGCCGTCCGAGAGGGAGGCCTCGATCAAATCCTCTGCCGGAACGTACGCTACAGGGCAAGGGAAAAACATCTGGCGCTGAGGGCGATACGCCATCTCGTAAGAAACGTCGGCGATGTCGTAATAAGAAGTATCAGACTGGGGACTACATCACAGAGAAAGACAAGCTGGAAGATGGAGAACACCTCGAAGAATCTAACTCTCTGATAAAGGATGCTGGAGTCCCAGAAGGTAGAGATCAGTTAAAAGTTATCCTGGTCAGAAGGTTAAAAAAGAAAAAGATTCACATATTACAGTATTAAAAGAGAATGACTTGAGAATCAATGAAGTTCAACATTTGAATACAGCAGCTGTTGAATATTTTTATGCAATCCAAAGCTCACTAAATGACCGGTAGTAAGTAGGCATCTAATCAGTTAATCAACTGACTACTTAATTGCTAAAAAATTATTTTCAGCTATTTAAATTATTAATTGTTTTAATTCATTTATTTTTCAAAAACATCAGTGAAAATAGTCAGAAGTGTAATTGAAAATAAAAATTATTGTTACTTGTTTTTTAGTCCTTCAAGCACATCAAACATTAGTTAGAAACAGCCTCACAAAAAAGCCTGAATCATTCTCTTTTAATACCATTATACATTAATCCTTTTTTGGCTGCTGACCATAAAAAGCGACAAAACATTTGGCTCTGTTGGCTCGTGACGAGTATTTGTCATCTTTTCTGACGTTTCATAGACTAAGTGATTATTCATTCTTTAAAAAAAAAAAATCTGATGAATGAATCGGTACAGACAATAATGTAAAGCTCTGTTCTACTCTGTGAAGTAGTCAGTATACATATACATATAAATTTAGCAACAAAAAACTAGTTTGCTGTGTATTCACTTTAATCTTTTCTGATGGTTGGTTTTAGTACAGAAGTAACAAAAATGACCAATTCATGTTGCTTTGATGTTTTTCTTCCATTATAATTCCATATTTATTTGGTCAAAATAGAGCTGAGTAAAGCTTTAAAAAGCCAAAATCCTCCAGATGTTATGGCATTTAAGGTAAATGTTAAATAAAATACACATATTCGTAGATAACTTAGTTACTCACAGGTGACGATGCTGGTTTTCCCTGAGTTCTGAGATTGTTCATGAAAGAAATTTCTGTTTAATGAATTTAAGAATGAATGACTCCAAACTGTCACTTAGCTTGGAGACTCAAGCTGTGTCCATGCTTGCTGCGCACTGCGTTGTCGCTGACAGCTGGTCGCTAGCAGACATTCCAGTCTACGGTTGCCAAGGTAACCGTCTAACGTATTTAATACCCTGTGATAGGTAGTCACTTCAGTACTTAGGTTCACAAAGGTTTTGCTTGGGACCCGCTCACATTGCGTCTCTGGCTGTTTTTTCGCAGTAATAAGATGTTTTAGCTCCGCTACCTTTGCAATAACTTTCTTCTGATTGGCTGCCCCTCGAAAACCAAAGATGTAGAGAGCAGGCAGGTGAGGGTGAGAATCTGTGCTCACAGCTACAGCTGAGCGCCTGGGAGGATGATGTTAATAATGATATTCCCTCTCGCTGACATGATACAGTAGGACTGTGCAATTAATCTGTGGCATGTTTAGTTCAGCTCCAGGCAAGATGATGGAAAGAGAGGCTTTGGTGAGTAGCAAAACCATCAGCTGTTAGGAATCACCTTGGTTTGGTTTTTCTGAAGAAATTACACAAATAAATTATGGTTAAAAAGTTGAACTTCATCGAGCAGCTCTGTCCCACTGAGGAAAAAGTAGAAAAGACTGTCTGAATCTTGAGATTTTGACTCACAGGTATTATTTATTTATGTATTTACAGATGTCATTATTTTAAATTTTTCCTATGTTTAATATATGTTCTATTCAATTAAATTCAGTTTTATCTATAGCACCAAATCAAGGTGTTTTATATTATATTGTAAGGTAAAACCTCACAATAATACAGAGACCAGCTTGGGGTCTGTCTGTCTATATCTATATATTTCTCTCAGAAGATCCACATCATCTATCTGTTAGTGTGGAAATGACATGCATCGTGAGTGTATATGTAGAGAAAAAGCTAGGACATGGCAGATTTGAGCATAAGATTGTAAAATCAGGGTAGAGTAGCTGGCAAACAGCAGTTTTCTTGTTTACGTGGATAAGATGGCTAAGCTTCCGGAAGTACCAGACAGTCTGATATCAGCACCTAAATTATTCCATTCTCCATGTTAGGCTTGGCAGATGGGGATGAGCACAAAGCTGCATCAGTGCAGTGTTGATAAATGAGTGGTGTGTAAAGATTAGGATTGTTGGTGTATCTCCTGTCTACCACTCAGTATAACGGCAGGTCTAATTTGCCATTACAGTTCCACAGGTGGAACATTGTCCGAGTCCCGCTGCCCCCAGTCCAGAGCCTCTTCCCAAGAGACCGTCAGTCACTCGCTCAGGATCGGTTCGCTACCAGGAGAGTGAAGAATCTCCAGAGTGCAATGATAAGCCTTCAGGGAAGAGGAAGTGCAAAAGCAAACACCTATGTGACAGTGATGAGCCGAAGGTAAGCTGCCGATGCTGCTTGTGGGAGGATAGCCCATCACAGATCATGCATAGTTGATAGAAACAAGGTACAATGGATATACAAGCTTACAGTGCCCCCCTGTGGCCTGATTGAAATCTATGTTTCTCATGTTTGTGATGGCAGCTGGAAGTTCTCTAATCAGTAAATCTGTGTTTTAGAATAAGACCAAACGCTGCAGTTTGGGCAAGAGTAGCGCCTCCCTCACCTTGGATGATGATGGAGCTGATGCAAAAGTACCAGTTAGCCCATCACCAGCTCCAAAAAGTTTGCCATCCTCTCCATCTAAAAAGAAAAGCTCGTCAGGACGAAGCAGCGGTCCAGATTCTCTGACCAAAAGGCCCGTTCCGCCAGAGGTTCGCCGGCTGATTGTCAATAAAAATGCAGGGGAGACGTTGCTGCAACGTGCTGCGCGCTTGGGCTATCAGGTACAACCCGACACGTTTACTGGTAACAGGAATTTTGACATCAGTGGAAAAAATGCATGATAATCTGACAGTTTATCTTTCCTTCCGGTGTTCTGCAGGACGTAGTCCAGTATTGTCTTGAAAAGGACATCCGGGAGGTCAATCGGCGTGATAATGCCGGTTACACAGCTCTCCATGAGGCGTCCTCCCGGGGCTGGACTCAGATTGTCCAGATGCTGCTGAACAATGGTGCAGATGTCAATTGTAGTGCTCAGGATGGAACACGGTGAGGCTTCAGGCAGCATGACAGTGGCTTTCATCAGAGACTTTATAACAGAGAGATGTGTTACTTGAAAAATCTTGAAATGAGATTCAACCACAGAAAAGATGGTGGTGGAAGTTTCTTAAAAACCTATTTAAAGATAAGCTTTTTAAAGACTTCATTTGGGGCATATTAGTAATTTTTTAAGATTAAACTGGGGATTGTCTACATGACATTTTTATGTCCTCATGACCATTGAAGTTAAACTATTTAGATAATGCTTCAAAATATCTGCCCAGAGGTCTTTCATTGCAAAAGTTTCTTCTAGCAGGACTCTTCTTGAGTTACTTGTCATATGTGTAACCTTTGTAATAAATCTAAGCATGACCCCTGGAAACAGCATGTATAACTAAAGTTAGATGTCATTGTCCTACAGTCTTCAATATTTTCTGTGTAATGTAAAGTTGTGCAAATGCTAAAAGTCTTTTGTGTTTTGTCTGTTCTTCCCCTCAGCCCACTTCACGATGCAGTAGCAAGTGATAACTTACCAATAGTCTGGTTGCTTCTGAACCACGGTGCAGACCCAACTCTGGCGACCTACTCTGGACATACACCAGTCAAATTGGCACATAGTGCAAGCATGAAGAAGTTCCTCACAGGTAGTTCACCCTTCATATTCACCTTTACACCACTGGACAAGAGATTAACAGTTTATTCTTTGTTAAATTCATTTTTTTTAATCATCAACAAACATTTGGTGACACAGCAAATGCTTTCATAAAGCTATTTAGAATGAGACGGGAAAATAAATCATTGAAGTTGTAACTTTACAGTCATCCATCAAGCAGTGTGTCAACACATTAGTAAACTCTGCGCCCACTCCCACTGCATCGCTTTTGAGAATTGAACAATACAGGTTACATGAAGAATACATAAGAATTTCAGTCAAATCTTCTTCCACATCCACAAAGAGCCTGACAGTTGTTTAAATCATTGTTTTTGTTGTCTTCCAGTTGAATTTGGTTGTGTACTACTAAACTGAAACAAACTGAGCTCATCAAATATGTCTTGTGACTGATTAGGTGTTGATTGATTTATGCTTAATCCTGTTAGGAATGGTTTGTCAACTGATATCACACAAAGCAGATATGACATTAGATAACAGTCCAGTGCACTTGTGAGTTGGAGAAAATCAGCAACATATGGGTGTGGCTGTGGCTCAGGTGGCTGAGTGGGTCATCTACAAACCTGTGGACAGATGCCTGCCTGACTTTTCCTGGTAATGTGCTGAAGTATCCTTGGGCAAGATGCTGAACCACAACACATCCAAGAGAGTGTTTGTGTGTTTGGATGTTAGAAAACAATTAGGAGACATCACTGTGTGTTTGTTATAAGAACCAGGATCCTTAGGGGTTTTTTTGTTGTTGTTTTTTTAAGTAACAAGGAGAATTTAAGTAAAAAGCTGCGGTGATGAGCTCTGACATGTCTGTTAAATTTGGAAGGACTTTTTAATAGATTGCTGTTCTGTAAAAACAGAAGAAAAACTTTTCTGAACAAATCATTTTTTGTGCCGTAAGCTTTTAATTCATTTTTATAAATAAGCATTTGGAAGGATGACATATGATTGCTGTAAGTTGCCTCCCTGGAATCAGTTAAAATCTGCTTTCCTCAGAAACTGTTCCCCATCCAAAGTTACTGCTTTGTGTGGCTGCAAGAAAAAACCCCAAAGCCAGCTTGTTATAAACATTAGGGGTGCAACGATACACAAAATTCACGGTTCGGTTCAGTTCGATACTTTGGTGTCACGGTTCGATATTTTTTTCGATACAAAAAATGTTCATGCCTTTTTAATTTATCATTTATTAAAATTATAAATATATATTTTAACTCAAAAGTACAGTTTTTAAATTTAATGCTGCTGAAATCACTCATCTTTGGAAAAGAGAGTTTATTACAGAGAAATGGCTCTTTCCAAAATAAAAGCTATACTATACGCTTCTTCTGGGCTATATTCTCAGCAGCATATTAAACATATCAGGTCCCCATAAGGAGAATCCTGTGCTAACGGCTGTCTAAATGAGTCGGGCAAAGTTTGTAGCATGCTTGCTTGTTGTTTTTGTCTGCTTCCACTTGTCTTTGCACTAGGATGATGTCGGAGTAAATGTGCAGTCATATTCGTTGTGTTCCCACTAGTGCCGTCAGCGTTAATCCCGTTGAAATGACATTAACGCCATAACGCGGCAAATCTCCGTTAAGAAGTTACCGTGGGGGGTTGGACGGTGTCAACACAAGCTAACTGCGCTGACGCACTAGTTCCCACAAATTGAGCATTGCGTGGCACATCCGACATACTGTTTTACTTTAGTCCATGACTCGCTTACCATCAGGGTCATGCTTCACATGAAAACCAAGATAGTTCCAAACGCCAGATCTAAATGAGGGTGGGGGAGGTTCAATTTCGGGTAGCGTTGAGGCAGTTGCCATGTTGCAACGAGCTTAGCTTCTGTCTTGCCAGCTTGCGCTGCGCTCAGTGGATCTGCACTCGACAGTGCAGCCTAGGCGGAGTAGTCGAACGCAGATCCACTGAGCGCTCAACACAGACAGCATCGTAAGTTGATAAAATAAATAAAAAATGTTGTATTGTTCATACATATGCGTACCGAACCGAAAGCACAGTATCGAACGGTTCAATATCGATACGAGTATTGTTGCACCCCTAATAAACATGACCACTTTCATGCAATGCTAAAGGTGTCTTTTCAGCACTTTGCCAGGTTAAACAATAAATAATTCACATAAGTCAGTGTTTGCTTGCTGCTGAATCTGGGTAGCATATTAGTCTCACGTCGTACGTGCATCTCCAGGCAGTTTTTACACATCAACAGTGTTGAGAGAATAGAGTGCGGATATTATCCAGAGTTGCACCACACAACAGGAGATGGATGATGTCAGCCATGTTCTCACTGTACTGTCTGGTTGAGGTGAAGGGTGGCAGCTCAGATGAGCATGCACGAGGCAGGCCACATGACGCATTTTCACTCGCTGTGAATTCAGACTGTCAGACATCACCCCTGCCTACCGAGCAAACACCATTTACTGTCCGATCTCATTTATTAGGGCACTTTGATTGTCATAGACACAAGATTACTTACAATTTTGGGTTCTCACAATTATTAAAAATAATCAGGGTAAATTGTTTGCATTCTATTTCACAGTGAAGTTAGAGGTCCCCGTCTTTGTTTCGTCTTTCAGTTCGCCAAACTTTTAATTTTGTTGCTCTCTACGAGCTCACAATTACACTCCACCAGGCTGTGGCTTGTTTAGTTCAGCTCATATCTCTTTCGTTGTGTTTTATCAAATAATTTTTTGTAGAATTCGTGTTAAAATTTAATGAAAGCCACAGTAAAGAAGACAACTTGGTTATTTTTATTGAGTTTTTTCTGTAAGTCTGTGACTAGTGGTGTTAAATAATTGTGATCTCAGTTTTGACTAAAATAACTGTGTTTATATTTGCCATAATCAAGCAGCTCTGCTGCAGTGCATGTGTGAAAGTGGCTACAGATAAACAGAGAGATGAAGGCTCAGTAGTTGGTACAGAAAGACAGACATGCAGCTCTGATGGCCTGTTTTCTCCTTGCACTGGTAGCTGCACAGAGCTACACAATGGACCGTATCACATGCACAAGCTCTAACTTTGTTTTCTTTGCTGATGGTCTTAATTTAGTCCACTTTTCTTTCACCCTTATACCATTGTACGTTTTGCTTGGTCCAGAACAAGCACTAGCATCAGCCTTCATCTACATATTTCCACGTAGAAGTCATAACATGCAAACAGCCAGAGTCATAAAAAAAAAATAATACCACGTATTTTTTCTTTTCTCCAGAATATTTCACAGACCTGGAAGGCCGCAATGAACAGGATCCTAGTTTACCCTGGGATTTCTACAGCAGCTCGCTGTTCGGTGAGTAACCTTCACGCTGAACCTGTCAGTCTGCTGAATGTCAGCCCATTGATCAATCAAATACCCAGCTTTAATTTGTAAGCATGGTGGCATAAAAGTAATTGAAATTGCATTCCTATGCTGCTCCTGAGTCACAGGGAATGGAAGCCAGTTTATAGACTGGGCTCCAGCTTGACCACTGGCACGTGGAGGGGGTGTTAGCTTTGAGTATTAGCATCCGTGTTTTGTTGTAAACAGCCACAGGGAGCCTGTTATCTAGTGGAAGGAAAGCAGGATTAGAGTTGCATGGAAGGACTGAAGGAGACTAAAGACAAAGTGGTCTACAGCTTCTGAACAGTCTGAGTCACAAAAGATAATCAGGTTTTATAACTGCAGCGGTTTGTTAACTTTTAGTTTTTTTTGTTTTTCATTGAGTAATGCCAGCTATTTCAGTCATTTTATCAAAATCTGCCAGTCAATGGCAGCATGGATATTATAGTTGTCATTGTGCACTTTATATATCCACTGTAGAGGTTTGTATTTTGTTTCCATACAGGTTTAAAGGAGACTTTTATGTTCATTTCCAGTTCAGTGTTTCTATTCATTGACTGAACATGTGCTTCATCCTGCCTGGAAAAAAAGCTGTTTTAGCTCCTCTCCCTTTAAGCCAACTGTCTTCTAACTGGCGCGTATATATGTGTGTGTGTGTGTGTGTGTGTGTGTGTGTGTGTGTGTGTGTGTGTGTGTGTGTGTGTGTGTGTGTGTGTGTATATATATATATATATATATATAATTTTTTTTTCTTCTTTTTTTTTCATCTGCTTTTATATTTGAAGCTGTGACTGACACCATGAAGTGTGTTTATGTGTATTTTTATATGTCACCAGTTGTATGTGTGCAACTGTTGGTATATACTGCCCACTAGAGGGCATGCAGACCTCGTTCATTAGTACAGTAACAGCCAGCTTGTCCGCTCTTCCTCCCTTTCTCACCTCAGTGAACTCTTCCCTTCACAGAGACTGACCAGGAGCCGTGCTGGGACTTCCTGCTGTCTGAGCAGAACCAGGAGTTGGAGGAGAATGTAACGGGGAAGACCGAGCAAGAGTCGGACAAAGATTGTCTTATGTTCGAGTTCTCCTCGGAGCCTCTGCTACCCTGCTATCACGTGCAGGTGTCATTAACACAGGGGTAAGTTCATAACGATGAGAGTTTACTGGCGACAAACCACACGGTAATAAATCAGATTTTTGGGGGGTGATACAATATCAGGCCACTCAAATGTCATCTAAATTTGGTCACCGCTCTGCAATATGCCTAAGAATTACAGCAATTTAGGGCAGATAGGCTATGATGATAGCAGATACTGATGGTTAAGACTTATAAGTAAACAGCAGTTGCTTCAGCTTCTGGTACATAAACATTTATTGGAAATGTACTAAAGATATCTGCATGATGTTCCAACCCAACATCTTTAATGTCATGAGTTGTTATTGTTCCTGCGTGTAAAGGGGAACAAGTACAGGATGATGAGAAATATTTCTGCTTTTTTGTCTTCAAAAACACAATATTTAAGCTTCAGTTTCATTGGTCAGGTACTTTAATTACTATCAGATGGTGATGCTAGTATGGGGAGATGTTATTTCTGCAAAGAAAACCTTAATAGATCAGGTCATTGCCTCAGCATGTGTTACCTTTGGCAAATAGGTTATGGGTTTAGTTCAGTTTGTTGCATTTTTGTAGGATTACTCAGAAATTTGAGGGATTTACATGGGGCATTTACCAGAGTTGGGGCTTGGCCCAGCTTAGTAATGATTTGGTTTTGAAGCTGATCTGGATCCAGGACTTTTTGGAAGGATTCTTAACCAGTGTGCAAGCGGGCAAAGTTGGATATTTCCCATCATTTTGGGGCAACCATATTTTTTTCAGGTTATGCCACTGCTTTGTGACACTTGAAACGATATGATACTTAATAAGTGTCTCTGTGGTGCATTAATATATTGTTGCTTTTGTTGTCTGTCTGGACAAAAAACTGGACTGTAGTTTCATGTTTGTTCATTTGACGACGCTTACACCTAAACTGCCAGCTCTCGTGTTGTGCATGCCACCTTCAGCTGATGTCTGATGTTTTGCTTTTGCAGTTTTTGCAACTGGTTCCTGCTGACGGATGTCCTGAAGCGCCTGAAGATGTCTGCGCGGATTTTCCGGGCGCGGTATCCACACTTGGAGGTGGTGAGTTTGTCGCACGCTGAGCTCTGGAGGCAGGTATCGGTCAGCCAGGTGAGCTCCGCTTTGGTTTCTCCCTACAAAAGCAAAACTAAGGAGGAAGAGAAAGAAGAGGAGGACGAAGACGGACTTGTGGATCTGGTGCGTTGTGTACCGGAGCTCCAGAGACTACTGGGTTCCTCGATTCACATCCTACAAGAGGACGAGGAGGAGGAAGAGGAAGCGGTAGTGACAAACACAGGGAAGCCTCACAGCCGATAGCCTCTCTTGAGCTGCGCCCCAGCACCACGCAAACTGTCATTTTGTCAGCCTTCCCTCCAGGCAGCAGCTCAGTGGAAACCTCTCCGTCCGTTGTAACGAGGGTCAAAGATTTTATCTCCAGCTACAGTAACGACTGACACTCCACCGATGACCTCTGACCTTTGGCAGAAGTCATCTGAAGGACCTGCACACAGGAGTTGTCGATGCTGGATAGCAGCTTTCAGGTTCCTATCTATAGGTATATTTGAATACATGAGAACTATTGAGTAAACCTTTTTATTAATTATGTATGTACATGGTAGTGTATATGTATATCTTGCCATCAGGGTAAACACATTTGATTCTATAAATGTATTCTTGTGGCAGAGGACGGATAATGTTTAGGACTTTTTTGTTTTAGTTTGTTCCTGAGGGAAAGCGATATTTTTCGACGGGAGATAATCCAAGGCTTTTATCTTGGTGAAGTCTTGCGTACAGCTAAGACGCTTAAGTCAGGGAGGCCATTGGCCCAGATGGTTTCTCTGTCAACCTGAGAGATCTGGAGACCTGCAGAGAAGAGATCGTGGCACATAACATTCAGACCTAATCACCTGCTCAGAGCCTCCTTTCCATTTTTCACTTCCGGTGTCCTCGAGATCATTTCTGAATGGACCTGATAATTTAAAGTGTTGATTTTTTTTCCTGTGCATTTCACATAGTGAGGCAGGCCCGCGAAAGCTGTTCCGGTCCCTGGTTGCAGTATCAAATAAGGCTGTTTCGGACATTGAGGCGCAGAGTTTGTTTACAGAACTGGACAGACAGTAGTCTTCTCTACGCGTCCTAATACAGAATCCTGTGGATCTCTCTCAGAGGAAACTTTCTACCATCTCTGGAGTCCAGAGGAGCCACGACGGTCCCCCAACTTCCCAATATGGTGTTTCCAGCTCCCAGAGTGCTTTGTGTTGCAGTGTTTTATTTACACTGTTTGTTGTGCTTAATTTAATAGTCATTAATATATTTGATCTCTTGTGTATCTGACAACCCTATCTATGAAAAATACTTTCTATGGTTGGTGCTTCATTCTGAAATGTACTTATTATTAGGATCCCTTTATTCTGAGATTTCCCTCCTTCATTCAAAAACAGTATTTCAAAAACAAAGGAGAAAAAAAAGAGAGAGAAAAAAAGCAAAAGTACAGTTTTATTGTACTGGTGCTACACTAGATTTTGTGTTGACAATCAATGAAGTTTTGGTTTGAAGTCACAAACTAACAAAAGATATTTAAGATGAAGAGACTTAAGGTGTAAAGAAAAGTATAGTTTAGTTAAAGAAAATGGGATACAACAAGTGTGAGATCTTCAGAGAGCCTTTTATTTGATTCTTTTATAAGAAATAAACAAGAATAAAGCATGATTGTGAATCACAACTTAATGTCTTTTATGTCAAATTTATGTATAAAGTCCAATTTTGACATATTTCCTGGTGCGACTAATAATAATGATAATAATACCAATATTAATAAGAATTTTGAGTCAAGAAAGGGGCTTCAACTGCTTTACAGTTGAGTTTAGCTCGGTAATCTTTTCCTCCCTTTGTTCAGCAAACAATAAAGCCCTGCCTGCCCTCGTAGTATCTTAATATAGCATTTGTATTTATTTATTGCACCTAAGATTATCCTGTAGCTGAATTGTTGTATTGTCACCTTTTAAGTTGTTAAAAAGTCATTTGTGTGCTCAAAATCATGAACAAGTTTACAGTTTAATGACAGCTGAGCAAACGGTGAGGGATAGTTTCAAAGCTGTAAACCACTCAGCTGACCTCAGCTTCAGTTTGTTCTGGTAACTTCTGTTTACAAGTGTCAGTGTGGGAAGGGATAAGTGACTGCATGCTTTCTAGCAGGCTGCTCTTTGACCCGTCCAGTGATGGTTGTTCCCATCATTGTGGGCTGCAGTGATCATGATTTTTTTTTTCTGGCTATTAACAGGTTTTTGCAACAACAACAACAACTTAAAAATGCTCATAAAAATAAATAACTGACAACAAAGAATTTAATTAGGTGGAAAGAATAAATTATTGACTAAAAAGGTGTGGATACACCTATTCTGTTTATACAGTATATGCTATATGGCAACCAATTTATAGCTATGTTTCACCAAAAATTAACAACATCACAGTAAAGAATATGGAAAAATGTGTAAAAGCTGTTTGGTTTTTACACAGCGGTTGATGTATAACTTCCAGGGGCGAATAATAATCTTTTAAAAACTAAATCTAACTGGATAACTGATCAGAATAATTTCCCGGGGTTGTTTTGACTTGCTTGTAGAAAGACTTTGTCACCCTGCTGGTGATCTGTTGCTGTAATAGTATTCCTGGTCTGTAACAGAGCTGCAGGTTTAGTCATTTGATGCTGATAAACAAATGTCAGCAAGTCTGTCAGTACTAAAGCTGAAAGCAGCAATCTACTGTCTCTTAAAGCTGTTCCCAGTAATACATTTAAATGTAAGATTTCGATTGACTAGCACTTTATGATTTGTGTGCATATGTTGTGTTTTTTTCTTTGTTTTTTAATCATAGGGCTTAGATGCAGTTGTCAAACAGTCATCAGGGGCATGAATATCGTGGGACTTTGAGCTTTTAAAGATTTATTTTAAATGCTCTTTTATCAAGGTGGAATGATTGGGTGCACAGGTTTGACTTTATTTGGGCTTTTCTCACATCAACAGAGGTTCAAATGTTACATAAACCCATTTAAATGTTTTAATTATAGTAGAACCCTCAGCACCACTGTCTTTTAATTCGACAAGGCCTCTGTGAAGCTCTGAGAAGTTTTTGAATTAGGAATCAATTGGTTGATTGATTAATTCTCTTGGAGAATTGAAGATCTCTTGGAGACCTTTCTAAACAACTGCAGATTCCAAGATCATCAGTTCAAGCAATTGTACGTAAGTACATTTTATTCTGATGTGTCATCACTTTCCCAATATCTGGAAAGACGTCCCAAACTGTCACCCTCGGATTAGAGGAAATTGGAAGTGGAAATTGCTGGATCACCAGCGTCACTGTCCAGAGTGAAGCAAGTTTTACATCTGTGTACTGAGAAGGTGCTGACAAAGAAAGATGCTCCTGCTACAAAATCAACACCTTCAAGCTTGGTTTTCCCAATATCGGCTGTACAATCATTCCACCCGGAAAAAAGCTAAAAACTGTTTAAAAAAATGATCAGTGAATGCAAACTTAAGACCACAACAGCAAAAAGAAGCCTTTGTGAAAACAACCATCCTGCCGACGTCTGTGCTCCCTCCTCATTCAGCATGATCACAGGACCATATGAAAACAGTACATTTCAGACAGAAACTTCTTTAAACCACATCTTATCTCTTCTAACGCTGCTTTTGAGGACATGGTGGTGCTTGTGCTATGACGCAGCTGAGCCAAAATACCAGAAGGTGGCATCGTGCGAGACGTGCCACAACTCCTGCTTAGCCTGTAGGGTAGCTGTTCATGATGGGAACGCCTGCACTGGGTCACTGAACTCCAGATAAAATGGATCTAACAACAACTTCCATTTCCATAAGGGAGTGGGCACATGTTTCTATTATCAGCCCTGCAGTACTGAAAAGCAGCAGCAAAAATGCTTAAAACTGACATAAAAGAGCCATTAAATCTAATTTAATCCAAGTCATCACTTTAATCTTTATGAGATTACAGCTACTTACTCTTAAAAATCTGCATAAAATGAAAGAATGGAAATCAAAGGTTAGTTAATAAGGGCCATATTTATTCTTGCTACAGCACTGATAGGAATATTAGAATATCAGAACTAATATAATACAGCAACTGAATGTTTGCCTGGAGCATATGGGACTCCGTTTCAAGTCTCGGTGCAGATATATTTTATTATACTGATATTCAGCGTGCCAGTTGCAGCCCCTTGCAGGGCCTCTGGGTACAGATGGTCCGACTGGGCTTTATCTCCCAGCAGTGACAGCATGTGGCGGCTGCCAGACTTACAGCACGTTCTGTGTGCGTTCATAACTATAAGTTTTTTCTGGTAATGTTCTTTTTAAAAATGAAGACTGAAATCTGACACCAGTGAAAAGAAAATGCTTTGTGGGTTTGAAATTGAAGTTTCAGAATTTAGACTTTTTAACCGTTTTACTTGTCACGTCATGGAAACTTTATCTGGATGACTCACTGCATTCCAAGTGATCCTTTCACAGAGCCTTTCTGGAGTATTGGGGAATCTTGTAAATCAGGCCTCCTTGCATCATGCTGGAGCTGCCTCTCCTCAGGTCCGCCTTCTTCACCAAGCCCCTGCCATGCCCCTAATGCTCATTGGGCTCCCGTTGTGCACCAGCAAACTGATTGGATAAAAAAAGAGGGCAAGTCAGGACAAGACCTACTCACAAACATGGAAAGTGGAAGCAAGGCCAGGTTTATACATGGAAACACAAAGGGACATGACAGAAAAGGTACATGATTACGAGTTAACTGTGTGAATGTCAGGGGGCTGGGTGGTCTTTCTATTTAATTTAAATTACAGCATGATCCTTCTGCCAGCATGCCCCTTTTCAGGTTGGTGATTATTTTGCCCTCCTGTGTATTATTTGTAATGAAAATGAGTTCCCATGAAAGTGTCTTGCCTCCCTTTGGGTTCACTGAGGACATCTGTTGTCTGTTAACAGTGCCTCCATCAGGTTATGTAACAGCCCTCTTTCAAAAAGGCACAAGAGGGAAGTCCTTCTCAATGAGTCTGCATGTAAGGCTCTGTCTCGATACTTCCTTTTCTCTCGGTCCCCATTGAAATAGGTTCCTTAAAAGATTGCTTTAAAAAACAAAACAAAACAAAACTGCTGACCAGAATCTTAAAGGTGCAGGAATAAATGTTTTAATCTGTCCAAGTGGTGCTTTGATTATCTAGCGATTGTTTTAGTGTTCAAGACAGATCAAACCTGCTTTCATCCCGTGAGACTGCACAGCCAGGCCTTTTGTTATGATCAGTAGGATTTAAATTAACGTGTTCACTGTCTGCAGTCTGAGTCTTCTCCGTGTGTCTGTATATGGCCGTGTTGAAGCGTACTGATAAATTGTAGTAGGCCTATTTTGAAACGACTCTCTAAGAACAGGTGTTAAATGTCCTGTGCGCTGATGTGAAGACATCCAGTGGTGTTTAATTCCCGACTCAGTGCTTTGACCCCTGCGGTTCTAAATATAATCCAATGGGGAAAATAGCACTGTCGTGCATTGCCCCTTTGCTGTGTTGCAAAGAGATTGACCTTGTCCAGATATCTGAGTCTGCTTCTGCATGCAGCCAACACTTCAGGCTGCATGCACGTCTGGAACACAGTCACCCAGACGTATTAATGAAATATGGTTACAATTTAGAAACCATGAACTTTGAACTTTTAGCTACATAAAGGTCAAATAAGCCAGGAGACTACAGTGTGGTGACTCATCCTGAATATTGTGTCACATTTTGCCCAGTTTATGTTTCAGATTCATCTTAAAATACAAAAAAATGTGTTTGTCTTTCAGTCTGTAGACAACAGACTAAAATAAGACAATTCTTCATCAGATTTGTTAGGAATAAATCCTTAGAGTTATGCAATCTACATCTGTATTCAGACTCTTCACTTGGAACTCAGTGAAAGCACCTTTGTCAGCAGTGCATTGAGTCTTCTTGGGAATCTTAATACAAGTTTGGCACACATTTCTTCTGGAAGTTATGTCAGAATAGTGTTAGTGCACAGTCATTGCAAAAGTTTTAGTTAGTAGAGGGTAGTTTACCGCTGCCTAGATTTCTCCATCTTGTGAAACGAGGACTAAAGTATGAAATAAAATGTGATCTGTCAATTCCTGCATCGTAAATGTTGAATGTTTTTATACTGGAGGTGCGCAAAGTCACTGGATGTAAGAAGAATGTAATATATTTTACTAGGTATTCTTTGTATTTAATTTCTTGTGGAGTTGTAGGCCACAGGTGTGGATTTAACATGAAGTTTATTGCACCTAGTGACTTGGTGATGGTAGTAGGACCTATGTAGGTGTACTGGTTTGGATGACCAGCAGTCTTATCACCCCAGACACAGAATAATATCAGGAATGAACCAGGAGCTTTTCAAAAACCACACCTGTACTTTTTGGTGGTATGCTTCAGGTCGTTAGCTTATTGAAATGTTAATCTCAGCCTGAGCCTGAAATCCGCAGCATGGTGGTAAAGGTTTCCACTTGGAATTGCTCTGTGACTAATAGTCCTGACTACTCTTTCAGGCCCGTTCAGAGTAAAACATGTTCACAGCATGATGCCGCCACCACCTCGCTTGACTGTAGACGGTATTGCTGAGTCCATCTTATTGCCCTGTCTCTTACAGCATTGAAAAGTTGGACAAAGTTCATCCTTTATTTCATCAGATCAGATTAGTT